AAAATTTAGATCTCTCATTCAAAAAGGTTGGAGACCCCTCGATGCATAGCACGCGCTCTTACCTTGGCACCAGCGTTCGTCAAAGTGCGTCAAGCGTGCGCACGAAAATAGGAGGAAAGAGGCTCCAAATTTCCCCCGGCGCATGTTGCTGTCGCTTCTATTTTCCAAAAAAAGCCATACGTTCTCCTCCGTCAACAACGAGACATAAAAACATTACAGCCCGGACAACATCCTGATTAAAGATACGCGGGGGGAAAAGTTAAGTGTTTGTCCCGCTCAGGGGGCAGGTGGAGCCCGGGGAAGGGACGCTCTGCGTTAAAGACCGCGGCAGCCTCTGGATGCATCTGTGACCGTGACGCGCGTGCTCCGACTCTGGACTCGGGGATCAGAGCGCTCCGCGGAGTGAGGGGACTGAGGGTTTGTGTGTGTGAGCTCTCTCTCTCCTCCTCTTCTCTGTGCTCTCACTGTATCACAACTACGGTTTGCATGCGCCCTGATCTCTCTCTATGTGTGTCTCTCTCTCTCTTCTCTCTCTCTCTCTCTCTCTCTCTCTCGCTCTCTCAGTGTGTGTCTCTCTTTCTCGACTATCACCTGGACGTTTGGTCGTGCGCGCTCTCTCTTTATTTGTCTCTCCCTGACTCTCGCTTCGCTCCCTGCTTTCCCTCTCTTTGTCTCTCACGCCCTCTTTGCTCTCTCTCTGGACTAACTCTCTCTCTCTCTCTATGATATCATGGGTGTTGTATGCTCTCGTCTCATCGATATATCTGTTCTGTGTTTCTCTCTCTATCTCTCTCTCCCTCTCTTGGTACAGCTGATAAATTTACCGCAAGTGCGCTCGCTCCTTCTTTTCCATAGAAATAAAAACAAACATAAAGTCTCTTGAATTCTGTTGACCGGTAAGGACGCATGGCGCGGGTTGGACGTTTCACAGGGTGACGGTCAGAGATATCATTCCAGGGGGGCCATGGCGGGACCGCTCCATTATTAACGCAAAATGACAAGACTGGTCTATTATAAAGTTAAAAGATTTTCTGGGTGAATGATTGGGTCTTATCTGAGGCTCTTGAGTTTCCCATGGTTAATATCTTAGTAGTTGATTGAAATACCCTGGTCCCATTCTAGATCCAAACAGCCTGATTCCTCTCATGTTGGTGCTCTATCAGCCTCAGAGTAAACCCCAAACCCCTGTTATTGTATTGTGTTTGTTTATTGTTGATTTGCCATGGTAACTCATCTCTGTTACTTCTGGAGTCAGTGGGAGACAATTTCTTCCTCTTCGTCACATGTAATATTGATCCTGAACAAGTGAATATAGGTCGTTTTTTAAAGATAATTTGATGTGTACTTCTTTTATTTTATCTCTAATTTTTTGCTTGGCGGATTCTATTTTGATTGTTTAAAACTGTCATGCACCGAGAGCCAAAGCAAATTCTAGTTTGTTACTTCCTGTTGGTCATTTGGCAATAAAATTCATTTTGATTCGGGAATTCTCTCCTCATTTGCCATCTGTCTGTCTTTGTAAATCCAAAACTACTAATTAAATAAAATACGCATACTGATTAATGACGTTGAGAGGAGCCAGTTGTAGGCGGGTTTGTGCATCTGGTGTTTCCTAGTGGTCTACCAGGGGACGGTGGTCTGGGCACGTCCACCAGGAGGAGACCAGGGAAGACCCAGGACACGTTGAGAGGGACTGTATGTCTCTCAGTGGTCTGGGGAACGCCATCAGGAATGCTGCTGGAGAAAGTGTGTGTGAAAGAGGGAGGTCTGGGCGTCTCCTGCTCAGGTGGACCTGCGATTAGATAAAAGTGCATAAAAATAGTATCAGTGTGGGGGGACGAACACTAAAAAAATAGTCATTTCTAGCTTTTGGCCAATGTTGTTTGTGTGACGCCTACTTGCATGTGAAATCCAGATACTTTCTCACTACTGATGCTGACAGGGCAGAGCCCTGGTTAGTACTGTGATGGGAGACCTCTGGGATAAACAGGTGCCATGGGGGGCAGCTGTAAAGTGCCAATATTTGTTGTTGTCCTTAGGCAAGGACACTTCGATCCACATTGCCTGAATGAGGTCTGGTGTGTGAGTGGTTGTGATTGGCACATACTGATTAGCCTCACTCTGTCAGCTGTGCCCCTCAGGGCAGCTGTGGCGCCAGTAGTACTTTATTCCCACTTGATAACCGGTTATTCAACCAATAACTATAAGTGATTCCTGCTATTTCCATCATGACCCATAAAGATTTCATATACACACTTACCAGCTTTAAAACACTGTAATATTGTGTTAGTCTGCATGACAAAAACAACACGAGTCATGATTGCATTTATAGGGTCTTCATAAAAACTTGATAGTGAAATTGGTTTTTTGTTTAAGTTCCAGGTTTGTTGTTACTATGCTTATTATTCTGTCCGTTTTGCTTTTGTTTTTAGGTCAACATATTAATATTAATGTTGCACAATGTGATGTCACGCACACTGTCCCGCCTCACACACCGCACACGCACAGCCACACACAATCGGCTGTATCTCATAAAATATGTAATCTACCATATTCTTGTTTGTTTTGTTTGTTGAATGTACTGTTACCTTTGGCAAAAATCAATAAAGCTTTTAAAAAAAGAACAAATAAAAAAACAAGTTCCAGTTTGTCGGAGAGCACAATGCTGTATATGTTTTTCTCTTTCAGTCCTGGATTCTATGGCGTAGGATGTAGTAGAGACATTTATTTATTGATTGACTGCGGAACCTTCCGCAAGTCAACATTGGTTTTGTATTTCTTTTTTAAAAGTTTATTTGATCTGTTGGAGAGCGGTTGGGAGCTGCTGCTTGGTGTCTAAATTGGGCTGGCGGTGGGGTAACATACATTCAACAAACAAACAAACAAGATATGTGTAGATACATATTTTAAGGAGACAGCAGATTGTGTGTGTGTGTTGGGGGGCGTGTGCGTGTGTGTGCGGGACATGTGCGGGACATCACATTGTGCAACATTATTTTTAATAGGTGGACTAAAAACAAAACAAAAAACGGACAGATAATAAGCATAGTCAAACTGGAACTTTAAACAAAAAACCATTTCACTACTCAAGTTATTTATTGAAAGGACCTTAGAAATGCAATCAGTTGGACTCTTGTTTGTTTTAGGTCGTGCAGTATCACAATATTAACATGTTTATAGCTGTAAGTGTTTTTATATGAAATCTTTATGGGTCATGATGGATATAGCTGGAATATCTTGATGTTATTGGGGTTTAAATAACGGTTAAAGGGGATAAAGTTACTACTGGCGCCGCGCGCGGGTGGCCGGGTGGGTGACAAAGTGCCCTGGGGCACACTGACAGAGTGAGGCCCTCAGTATGTGCCATCAAAACCACTCAAACACCAGCTCATTTAGGCAATGTGGTCGAAGTGTCCTTGCCTAAGGACACAACCATAAATTTGGCACTTTACAGCTGCCCCATGGCACCTGGTTTGTTCCCGAGGTCTCCCATACAGTACTAACAGGCTCTGCCTGCTCAGCATCAGGTTGTGAGAACAGGTCTGGGATTTACATGCAGGTGGCGTCACACAACTGGCCAAAAGCTGTGATATGTCCACTTTTTAGGTTATGTCCCCCACACTGTAATTTTTATGCACTTCTTTTTATCTATTGCCAGCGTGTTCTGAGCAGAGACGCCCAGACCTCCTCTTCACACACACTTTCTCCTGCTCATTCCTGAGGGGCGTTCCCAGACCGCTGAGAGACTACAGTCTCTCCAACGTGTCCTGGGTCTTCCCCTGGTCTCCTCCTGGTGGGACGTGCCCAGACCACCTCCCTGGTAGACATCTAGGAGACACAGATGCACAAACCGGCCTCAACTGCTCCTCTCAACGTCTTTTTATCAGTTGCGTTTTTTATTTATAAATTATTTTTGGATTTACCGAATATGACAGATGGCAAATAGAGGAGAGAGAAGTCCGAACTCAAAATGATTTTTTTTTTGCCTATGGGTACCAACAGGAAGTAACAAACTAGGAATTTGCTTTGGCTCTCGGTGCAAAACAAGTTAAACAAGTCAAAATGAATCCGCCATGCAACAAAATAGAGATTAAATAAATAATACACATCAAATTTCTTTAAAAAAACGACTATATAACAGTGTGCAGGATCAAATATTACACGTGACGAAGAGAAAGAAATAGTCTCACACTGAACAAGAAGTAAAAAGAGATGAGTACCATGGCAATTAAACAATAAACAAACCACAAACAATAACAGGGGTTTGGGGGTTTTATCTGAGGACTGAGAGAGCACCCTCTTGAGAGGAATAAGGCTGTTGGATCTTAGACTGGGACCAGGGGGATTTCAATGCAACTAATTGATATTTACACCATGGGAAACTCATGACCCTCATTAAGACCCCAATCATTCTTCTGAAATATTTTTACCTTTATTTAAGACCAGTCTGCTCATTTGTGCGTTAATAATGAGGGTCCCGCATGGCCCCCCTGGTATGATTCTTGGAGCGACCCCTGTGATACGTCACCCCGCGCGCGTCCTTTACGGTCACTGGAATTCAAGAGGACTTTATGTTTGTTTTTATTTCTATGGAAGAAGGTGCGAGCGCACGTGGCGGTATTTTATCAGCTGTACAGGAAGGAGAGGGAGAGAGAGAGAGAGAGAGAAACACAGAACAAAGACGATTTTTTTTTTTTCCCCCCCCACGCGAGACGGAGAGCATACAACACCATGATATCATAGACGAGAGAGAGAGAGTTAGTCAGAGAGAGAGCAAAGAGGGAGTGAGAGGACAAAGACGGAGGGAAAGAAGGGAGAGAGAGCGAGAGTCAGGGAGAGACAAATCAGAGAGAGCGCGCACACACAACGTCAGTGTGATACGGAGAAAGAGAGACACACACAGAGAGAGCGAGAGGAGAGAGAGAGAGAGACGAGAGAGAGAGAGAGAGAGACACACATAGAGAGAGATCAGGTCGCATGGCAAACCCGTTAGTGTGATATCAGTGAGACACAGAGAGAGGAGGAGAGAGGAGCTCACACACACAAAACCCACAGTCCCCCTTCACTTCAGCGAGCGCTCTGAGCCCGAGTCCAGAGTCGGAGCCGCGCGTCACGGTCACGATGCATCCAGAGCTGCCGCGGTCTTTACGCAGCGTTCCCTTCGCGGGCTCCACCTGCCCCTGAGCGGACAAAATACTTATCTTTCCGCGGTTCTTTATCAGGAGGTGCTCCGGGCTGTAGTTTTTGTTCGTTGTGACGGAGGACGTATGGATGAATAGAAGCGACAGCTACCATGCGCCAGGGGAAAGTTGTGTGCCTTCGTTTCCTCCTTTTTCTTGCCAGCACTTGACGCACTTGACGTACGTCGTGCCAAAGGTTAGAGCGCAGCTATGAATCGAGCGGGTCCTCCAACCTTTTTGACTGAGAGAGCTAATTTTGGATAATATGAAGAGCAGAGAGCTATATATATAAAAAATCTGTCTTAAATTAAGAGAGAAGGACACATGTGAAAATATACTAATACTGTATGGACCATATGTTTAGGACTCAACATGTCATGGGTTGAATTGTATAGCCTGTAGGGAGCTACCTGGAAGGGGTGGTCCCTAAGCTAAAGGTTGGAGACCCCTGCCTGTGCGGTCTCTCTGGGGGAATAAATGTTTTTTTCACGTGAGAAAAAAAACAAAAAACAAAGGAATACACACAGGGCTGAATACAGAATATCATGACACAGGTGAGACACATGAGGACTGGACATTAACCTCACAGGAAGGCCCAATCCCAATACCGACACTGCACCTACACACCTCTATGAAGTGTGCATTTGGTTCGAAGTGCACACCAGGGTTGGGAGTGGCGCAGGTTACAAGTGTGCAATAAAGGCGGAATTGGGACAGTGCACACTGAGTGGCAGGTTACGTACATCGACTCGTAGAGATGGCTATTTTCTGACCTAAACTTTATAATACATTAAAGGTAATTTTGTCTGACCCTTGGGACAAACAAATTAATTGCTTCACAGCACGCCCCTTATAATACATGTATATTAGTTGTTTTTAATACGATGATTGCTGATAATTTTAAGTTAAATGTGGTTAAACTAACTACTGGTCAGTTTTTATACATTCTAAGATTAGTGTACTAAGTGTAAAGTTTATATTGATGTGTATATAAACGCTTGCTTTAAAAAAGTAATTCAATTGTTAAAACACAATGTCCGTAATTCTTCATCAGACGTTTATGCTCTTTCCAAGTAACAAGCAAAACTTATTTACACACATACATTGCATATATATTCAGTTTGTTTTGGTGTGTAACGCAAAGAATTATGGGCTTTATCTTCGCCAGAGTGCGATAGATGCAGGCTACGGGCGAGTGTGGATCAGGGGGCTCAAAGGGGGCGGGCCAAAGCCCTCCCTGAGAGAAATTGGGTACGCCCTACTACGCACTAGCACCCTCAAGGGACGGAATCCAGAGTCCCAAAAACAAAACCAGGGACGGGAGGAAGTGGACGTAGGAAGGGCCCGGGAACTTGAAGCCGGGCCGGTACGTGAAGCTGCCAAGATGGAGCCAGGAATTGGAGCCGGTGTTCATGTCGAGTTGGTCTGCCCGTCGAGATGATCTCCATCAGCTGTTAATGAGTATGCAAACCTGCACCGCGCGTCTCACGGCAGCCAAAGCAATCCAGATGGGCGGACATCACGTCCGCAAATTGCTTTTAAAAGTTAAATACGAACAAATTAAGACATGAATGTCCATCTTTTAATGGAATTTTGAGGCGAGATGTTGATGGTTCTGTGTCGTGATATGTGTGTTTTAAGAGTAAGAGTTTCGTGTATAAAGTTTGTAGCAGTCCACTGCTGCTGAAAAGACACTCGCTAGTGGCCCAAACACTATGGGCCTACGACAGCCCAAAATGACGTGTGCAGCAGTCAATCCGGGACTGCTATCACACGCCGCAGTGAGCTGCTTAAAACAAACTTTACACAAAACTTTACTCTTAAAACCCACATTTCAGAATGCGGAACCATCAACATCTCGCCTCAAATTACATTAAAACGTGGACAGTTGTGTCTTAATTCCTTCGTATTTAACTTTAAAAGCAATTCGCGGACTCCATGTTCCGCCATCTTGGATTGCTTCGGCTTGCCGTGAGACGCGAGCAGGTTTGCATCAAATCATTAACAGCTGAGGCAGATCATTCTCGACGGGCAGGACCACTCGACTAACAGGGACTGGAGCAAAGAGGTACAATAAACCAGAAGGCCCCTGGAGGGGAAGACTATCCAGCAGAGCCAGGGCAGGGACAAAGCCTGCAACCACCCAGGACAGAGCAAAGTGTCCTGTAGTGGTCCAGGGACACAGACAGGAGAGGGCAGTGTCCAAACTCCTGCAGCAACTCACAAGACCAGTCAGGGAAAAAAGACCGAGCGTGGACATAAATAAAAAACAAAAGTTTACACAGTCTGCTTGGGCCTTGTTGTTCGTCATTTGTCACATGGGGAAAAATCATAGGAGACCCAAATGCAAAAAACGCAAAAAAAAAAAAATGGGATTTAATAAAAAGATAAAACAAATCCATAAACACAGAACCAGTACAAGAACTAAAAACAGGACAGGATTGGACAATGACGGATACAGGGACGTGAAGGAACACACAGGGCGAATACAAGGATAACTCTGACAAGGTGAGAAACATGAGGGCAGGCAGGTAACCAGGAAGAGCAACCAAAGAAGACCACTCTAACAAACTACGAATAAAACGGGAACTAAACCACTAAAACCATGGACAGTTTTAGGCTTGTCTAGAGATTTCCTGTGGTTCTCAATCTGCAGGTGCTGCATTTAAACTGTATTTAGGTTTGTAGAACTGCAATCAAACACCAGCATTTCAGAGATGGATAAGAAAACTTGACGATCTATTGATAAATAGCCAAGATCTTATTACTATCACTATTTTGGTTTCGAAATTAAATGTATTGGCCAAAATGCTACGATTACATTTTTATTGGTGGTAAAAGAAGACAATTCATTTTTCAGTTTTCTCAATTCGTCCAATGTTGCCGAAAGCAAGACTGTTTTGTGTTTTATAGAAATATAGTGAGCAAGTATCCAAGAGTGTAGGTACTTCTTTATTGTTTTTATAGATTACAAACCTGCAAAACACATACTTTCACGTGTATCAATGCCAAAGAATGAGTGATTTCCTTTTTATTACCTTTTTTTTTTCAGACAAGTAACAAACAGTATGTCGGCTCTTAAAAAGGGGTTGGAAGACGCAGGAGGTTGCAAAAATTATGATTAGATCTAATAACACAATACTTAACCCATCAGGCAACTTTTTATTCAGATTGTGCGTACATCTATCCAATTCATTTTTGTATAGCTTAAATCACAACCGCAGTCGTCTCTCCGAGGACTTCATTGTTGATTCTCTTTACCAGCAGATGACGAGAAATCAAACAGTTCAAACACAGAAAATGCAATTCAATACAAAACATATTGGAGCCACCCCCCTAAGCTGTACATAAGTTCACAAATCCACTGTCTGACTGACATTTTGTTTGTGCTTTTAAATAATTTTCATAAAATCAAAACAGACCATACATACTTAATCCCTCTCTTCTCTATGGGCAAACCATATATATTTTTTAAAAAGCATTACGAATTTGCATTTTTTTTGTTAATGCAAGTGTCAAAATGTGGTACGACCGTACGGACTTGAATCAGTTCTGGACATTTGCTTAAAAAGTAGCTAAATCTACTTCAAATGTATTGGCATTTTTTCTGAAGTGTTTTTGTAACTCATGTGAAATTACAGTGTTCTTGTAATGGGACTTTTTCCTCTTATACAGCCGAGGAAAATGTCAATTTGAGGAAATATCATGTGGTGCGACCATAAAATAACTACATTTTTAGTTTTAATTTTGAATTCTACCCAAAGACACACAGTTATATCACGGAAACCACATTTGCCAAAGGTCCCACTGAAGAAGTTTATCTAAAAGAAAATACCAGCCTTTTAATATGGTTGCGTAGAAAGTTTCAAAATCTGGATGTCATGTGTTATTGGAACCTTCAAAAAGATGGATGATATGATTTACTTTCACAAATTGATTATTTGATATTAAATATAATTGTGACTATCACGAGAAAATGCTTGATTTATTATGGTGTCAATGCTCGCCTGTATATTTGGATTGAATATGAAAATGTCACATCACAGTTACCTCTTCATGAGTTGTTAAACATGATTATAGGGATTTATGTTTTATATAATATTGACTGATTCTATATATGATAAAAGTAGTCAATTTTTATATTGTTTAAAATATTTAATCATGCTTTTTCTTTATTTTTGTCATGAATTTCAGAGAAAGGGTTATTATTTAAATCTTTGACATGCTCAATAATTTTTGAAAATTGTTGTCAATATCTGCTCATTTTGCAATTATAACTTACAGTATAAACGATCAAAATTAATTTAATCAGGAAAAAAATATGAGAAATCAGAAAACCTTATTTTTAATCCAATCCCCTCACGCATTTCAGACACAAACTACGATTAAAATACCAAAGAAAGAAACTACAATACCCTCAAAAAAACACATGACACACACACGCACCCAAAAACCAATTAGGGGGCACACACACACACACACAAATACATATAAAACACACAAATACAAAAACAAGCTAAATACCATTAACCGATACACATATATTGTATACATCAAAACTTTAAACACACATAATTATATACTACATCAAATACAAACACACACATATATAACATGTTCAATTATACATACATAAACACACACACATATACAGTACATTAATACAAAAATTCACACACCCCCCCCCAACACACACACATATATATACTTACAAAAATAGACATACACACATGCATACAAAAATACACATAATTACACACATATATATACATACAAAAATACACACACACACACACACAGTATACACACAAAATTCAAACACACACACATATATAGACATATAAAAATAGACATAAACACACACCACATGCAAACAAAAATTCACTATACACAATCATTATATAACATACAAAAATACAGCCACACACACACTCATATACACACAAAAATACAAAATAAACTCACGCACACAACACACAATGGCAAGAGACAAAACACACACACCGTGGCAAAAAAAATATATGTGAAAAACTATAATGATGGAACCAAAACTGTTTTGAGGGAGTGAGAAACTGCTGTTTGTGGTTTGAAAGGTTAGATACCCAAGCTTTAATGAAAAAGCATACATTGTTTCTTTTGTCTGTTACTTTACTATATTTGGGATTACATGACTATTGTCCTGAGTGTTTTGAGGTTCCATCCATATATTTTACCTAATTGGTTTTTATATTACATAGACTCTTCGAAAGTACACTTACTGTAAAATCTGTGGCTGTATCGTTGACCGATGTTGTTTTACTGATAGATTCATTCCTCACATTCATGTTATAATTAGCTATCTCCTATTGAATTTCATCAACAGTACTAGTGTTGCACATCAGACCTGCCAATAATGCCTTCTTTACAAGTTTTGAAAAGACTTGTTTGACGCTCTCTGCTTTTATTAGTGACAGAGTGTGAAACTGGGATGACACACAAAACCTGGAGAGAGTGGATAATTTTTGTCTGGGCATGAGACTACAGGTCGTTAAGCAAGGGCAGGTTTATTTGTATGGCCAGTTCACACACATGGCAACTCAAAGTGTTGTAGCAAAAACTAAGGCTTCAAACAGACATTCTTAACAGTACATTAAAAGGGAAGAGGAATCAACCGTTTAGCTTTAGCACTTTAGAGTTTTGGTAGTCTCTTGTGGTTCCCAGCGGTCTCCTCACAGCATACGAAGGCCCATCCCAAACTGCCTTTTAATTATATGATATCATTAATTATTATGGTTTGGTTTTTTTTGTTGCTTTTTTAACACACTGGCCTAACGACAGGACAAATGACACATTTGCATCTTAGATAACCCTGGATTTTTTGGCTCCATGGTGTTTTATTAAAATTAATTAAGGCAGGTTATGTGTATACGCACAGTTAATACACAAGCGGATCTAAAAGTACTTAACTGGCTCGCTTCCTCTAGCAAGAAGGTTCCGGGTTCAAATCCGGTCGGAACAGGGCCTTTTCAGAGTGGAGTTTACATGTTCTCCCCTGTGTCTGCGTAGGTTTCCTCCGGCGCTCGGTTTCCCCTACCCTATAAAAACAAGCCGATGAATGTAATGAGTGGTGAATGGTTGGTGTTGGTCGAAGGCTTTGGAAATTGGACCAGTGAGTCTGCCGTCTCACTTCCGTCATCACGTGTGTTAAATGGAAAAATATCTGATTTCTGAACATTGTAAGCGCTTGGTCTGTAAAATGTGCTAGAGAAATAAAAACATTACTTACTTAACAAAATATGACAGAATAAAAAGATAATCCTTCAGTTGTTGCAGCTAAACAGAGCTTTTTCTACCATGCTTTGAACATTGTCAGTGATAAAAGCCTGTCTCACATTTTCAGGATGACCGTTCCAGATTTTTAGCTGCTTAAATTCT